CTGTATCGGTTTGGTTCGACACCGATACGATACACAGTACGCCCTGTATTGGGCGTATCGTGTCGATATTTTAATCCTTGGTCATAGTCTTGTACCATGCCTTAACACTAGAATGTGCAACAACAAACTGTTCATTACTCTTCCAAGAGACAATATTACCTCCAACAAAAGTACAAATCTCAGAAATAGATCTCCTTTTATCTAATGATCTTGCCCAATCCTGTAAAGACCTTCACTTTCATCTTATCATGCTTAGAATATACAAGGAGGCAACCCTTCAAGTAGACAGGAACCCTGTGAGCAGTGGCACGAGGGGAGTGCATATRTTAGCTGACAACACTTACTGAGTATGTGATGCTTTATATACATGTATGTATGTATGGAAGCCTTCCAACTAGCCTTCGATACATTCTGTGATCCTGAAGAGGCTCCTGCTCAATGGCACTAGTATTGAGATTTGGGTAAATAGGAGTATCTATAGGTTTCACTCATAACTAACTTGTGTCCTGAAGAAGTTTGGAATATACTTCCTTTGAGAAATATATATACCATGTTGAGATTGAGCTACCTCTATCCCTAGAAAACATCTAATTTCCTCAAGATCCTTGATCTCAAATTTTGCCCTTACTTCTTTTTATTGACAGTTTCCATGCATCATTACMTGTGAGTGCAATATAATGTACATAGACTATAAGAATGGTAGTTAGCTCTCTCTTCCTCTTGACAAACAATGTGCAAATAGACTGGGATTAARCAAATCCCTTGCATTCACAAAATGATCAAACCAAGCACAAAGAGATTGTTTTAGCTCATTTAAAGATTCCTTGAGCTTACACACTCTCCCCCTCAATACATCAATGTGAAAACCAGGTGGTAGTGCGATATAAACTTTGTGTAGTTCACCATTTAGGATTCACATTGAGGCAATAAAGTAGCCAAGAGTAATGAGAGGCAAATAACAACAACACTTTGACCAAGGTCATCTTTGCTATAGGGGAGGTCTCCTTGTAGTCTATGCTACAAGTTAGAGTGTAGAGCATGGCAACCTGCCTTGCCTTGTATCTTTCTAGGATTTCATTGCTTTGTACTTGCATGCTCTTTTTTTATCATTAACTTTAAATCTCTCTTTGATTTTTGAAAAAGAATAAATCATATACAAACATGTCACGTGACCCATACAAAAGTAGGCTTGGCCTCCCCGCCCAACATAACTATTATCATTACGTTTGTGCCCAAAACAACCGATTGTCTTTCACCCATTGCTTAGCTTATGCATCAGCCAGGCTGTTGGCTGACCTTGGCACCCAAACAAAGCTAGCTTCCAACTCTGACGCTAGTTGTTGTATCTCCTTCAAAACATGTCTATACTCTATACTGCTATAGTCCTTGGCTGTTGCCTTTTATCCATCACACCACTATTTTTGAATGATTGAGTCCTCTTCCACTATCACATTTTTATACCCCATGGACTTRTGCAAACACAATCCATATAGCGATGTTATCAATTCAACTCTAAGGGAGTCTTCATAATTGACTACCACATTTTTATACCCCACGGTCCTGAGTACTTTTTTCTCTTTTGATTGGTAACTGTTACTCTTTATCTATTTTCTAAAGAGAATAATATATATTTCTACAGCATGCCTAGCATCCCTTGACATAGGCTGGGAAACAACCTGATGCAGTTACATAGCACATGACATAGATACCCAAAAAATTGTTCCCTATTGATCGTTGTTTGACTAAAGTATTAGTTAATCTATTTGCCATCCTTTTCACCCACATAAAGGTTTTTTCCAGCCCCCTTGCTAATCTTTTGATTTCCCTTAAAGTTTGTCTATAGACCCTAACTTTTTGAGTGTTGTTTTTCAATCAGCTGACAAGATGCTTGGCTAGTCTCATGCCATGCTGATATTTCTGTACTTAATGAGTCTCCAACTCTAATTGGTCTTGAATAGAATGCTAATGTAATRCCATTATTATCTCTAAACACCCCCAATCCCTGAAGGCCTTGGATTGTCAAGGGAGCTTTCATGAAAGTTTAGTTTGACTGTATTATAATCTGGTGGGACCCATCTCTAAGCTGCTTGAAGATGCTGCTGTCACATTCCAGCCACAATATCATCCACTAAGAATGAAAGTTCAAAGTGTTGATMTGATATGCTCTGTATCAGGTGCATTACAGCGTATTGATGGGTCACCAAAACGCCATATTTTGAGATTTCACATGCTTTATTTGTTTATCATGATAAAGCATGATAAGGCGTGTCTACTGACAAGCTGAATAAAAAAAGGACTTGTCTACTGACAAGAGATCAGAAAAAAAGAGTTTCAGTAGAATGGATCTCTCGATATGTAAATTTYATTCTGCTCACATGTTTCATTCATAAAAAAAACTCTTGATACGCAAATTTTGTATATCAAAAGTATCAATTCAATACTTCTTAAGTGATTTAATGGATAAAGTAAAAGAAGAAGAGAGAGGAAGAAGAAAGAAAGAAGAGAAATGGATGAGAGGCTAAAACTTGGGGCTGATGCCAACCTCCTTAGGCTTTGATTTTTTATAAAGAATGAAATTACAAAAAACRTCCCTGATTAGTGAATGGCAAATAAACCCCTCTAGAAACACCTGAATATCTCAACAAAAATTTTTGCATGCTTTTGTCAAACTTCCTTTTAATTTTCTTGGTTTAGCATTCAGAGGCAACCATCTAACAAAAGAATTTGCAAGTTTACTTAGTTTACACACTTCTCCATGTTAAGCACTCAAATTTGTTTTTATGGACTCCAAGAAAACTCTTACTAAATGTTATTTTTCCCATGATGGCACTATATAATTTTAGTGATTTAATGGTACTTCTTCTCATTTTTGGGTTTCTATGTGCAGTTTCATGATGGCCAATGATGGTGTCAAGCAACGGCACATTGTTCAACAGGTTCAGTAATCAAAGATWCTACTTTTGTTTTCAACTGCTGACATTGACGTTATGGCTGTCCATGAAACTTGATCACTTTTCTAGTTCTTCACTTACTAGCCTTTTATGCCATATAGGTCACATCCACCCTAACTGGACCAATAGTTGTTGAAGATGTAATTTATGAAAATGGTGATGGTGATGGAAATGGCCCCATTGCATCAAAACATTCAGTGTTTCGTCGTCTTACCTTCCAAAGAAGCCTGGGTTTAGTGCAATCTGAAGCTTTGATAACAAGAGGACACTCCCAGAAAATTCCAGCTGAAGCAGAGAGGAAGAAAGTCAGCTCATCCAAATCTCGGAAAAAAGGGAGCCTGAGAAAAAATGATTGCCGTATGTCATTAATTGATGGTAACTAGTTCACTCCTTATTACCATTTTATGTTTTAAGGCATTGCTGCACAAAGGTGTGATTCTTTTCTCTTTTCCTACATGAAGGTGTAAACTTCTCTCTTTCTTTCTCTCCCCCCTCACTCTCACATCCTAGCTGGCTCTGTCTCTCTCTCTCTCTCTCTCTCTCTCTCTCTCTCTCTCTTTTGTTCTTCTATTTATTTATTTATTTTTTGATAACTTTTGTTCTTTTATTTTGGGAAGTGCAACTTAGGATAATTTAGGATTTTGGAGAAATTTTGGGGGGGGGGATTTCATTGGTTTTGATGCGACTTTTATGAATTTTGGACGAATTGGTTTCATATTTTGTGGATTCTGAAATGACTTCTACAATTTGATTTTCTGAAGTTCACATCTTCATTAATATCTTTTGTTGTAGGAAACCCAGGAAATTCCAGAACTGGAGGGTTTTTAGAAATAATGAGGTTGAATATTTGATGGTGTATTCTAGGAGTTATTATTGTTGCAAGGAGCGATACCATGTTTCTACTTGGGACAAATGAATCTTGAATTGGAAAGGACTCCAAAGTGGTGGTAGAGTGGATGGAAGCTAGGTAAGGCCTGTAAGATGTAGACAATTGRTTAGGGAGGTGATATCTCTTGCCTCTAGGCTGAGGCTGAGCACTTGGGTAAGAAGATTTGAACCAGGGACCAGGTCCTTTGGGCACAGGTTAATGGTATATGTTTATGTTTACTGGATTCAGGGCTTAGTTTCTCCTCGATGAGGGAGTGTATGTCTGTATCCAACCTTTTACCTCATTTGATAAATGCTATCTAATCCAATGTTCTAAAAAGGTGCGTCTCAGGTGTTCTTAGGGACACAAGTGAGCACATTTTAAGGCATTCATCTCACTTCAGTGCAGACACAACCCCTTTCAGGCATGTGCCTTGTCCTAGGGGACCTTTTATAAATTATTTTTGGTTATTTTTTTAGTACATTCTTATGTGTTTTACATGTTTATGATAGTCTATTAACTTCTAAATTACCTTTTATTGGTGCTTGTGCACTAGTAATGGTCTATTAACTTAAAAAAAAAAAAACAAAAATCAAAGAGCTATTGAATACCTGAAGCCCTACTTGTTGTGGATAAGATCTCAGATAGCAAAATTTCAACTAAGGAAGCAACAATGGTAGAACTGATCTTTGATCCCTAAACTTCAAATTGAATGAACTCTGTCCAAAATCATAAAACCAACCCCTTGTATATACAAGCTAAAGGTTCTGGTCGGTAGACTTGGGATTGTTTGGAGTTTACTAGAAGATAGGCAAACACATTGGGAGTTTACATGCTTGAATTGTTGAATGCTTGAAGCACTTTGCTAAACTACTAAACCCCCCATGTGTGTTTTCTTTTACTTTTACTCTGAAATGTTTTCAGGAGAAAGAGAGAGAAAGAGGAAGAAAAGAGAGGAGAGCAGAGCTTAATCATCTCTTTCTCTCTCTCTCTCTATATATATATCCCTCAATCAATTTATATATGCTGAATATTAAAAGGTGTAGAATTACATGGGTGCCCCTAGTTAGGTGGTTGACCCAAAGAACATAAGAAACATTAAGTATTGTGGCCCATAAAGAAGGCCCACTATAGCTGAAATAAAAACTATTGAATAGATAAACAAAACTAAGGCCCATTTGGCCCAACCTCTCTACACTCACCCTCAAGCTGAGCATAGATGTCAATAATGCCCATTTTGCTTACATAGTGTTGGAACTTTGCCTTAGGAACTCCCTTGGTCAAAATATCTACTAACTKTTCCTCTGAAGAAATGAAAGGAAGACGCATTTCCCCTGGGGCCACTTTCTCATATGAAGTGTYTGTCTACCTCAATGTGCTTAGTTTTATCATGTTGAACCGGTTTATGAGCAATGTTAATRGCGGCCTAATTATCACAATACGACATCAGTGGCCTATCATAAGCAATGCCTATCTCTTCTAGGAGAGATTTAAATCATAACAACTCAGAAACCCCATGGGCAATAGCCCTATACTCTGCCTCAACTGAAGATCGAGCAACCATAGATTGTTTCTTACTCCTCCAGGAAACAATATTTTCAGGTACCATGGTACAATAACCCGATGTGGATCTTCTGTCATCTATACTACTTGCCCAATCAACATTTGTGTAGGCCTGGAACTTCATATGGCCATTCTTGGCAAAGTGTATACCCTTCCCAAGAGTTCCTTTAAGATAACATAGCACCCTTTCTGCTGCAGCCATATGTGTGTCTCTAGGGGCATCCTTCAATTGGCCAACACTCACAACATAAGAAATGTCTGGCCGTGTCATACAAAGGTATTGAAGCTTCTCCAACAATCTTGGAAACACTCACCTGTCAATTAAGAGCTCTTCATCATCAGCCAAGAGCTTATGATTCACATCAATAGGAGTGGAGACTTGTTTGGCACCAAGCTTCCTAGTCTCAATGAGAAGATCCAACACATACTCAGAGTTAAGGAAGAATTTGAGGTCATGAATTTCCTGTGTATCACTACCTATAGCAACAATGTCATCTACATATACAATGAGGAAGATGACTTGAGAAGCTTTTCTCTTCATAAACAGAGTATGGTCAGACTGAGTTTGAGTATAACCAAATCGAATAAGAGCAGTCTGGAATCTATCAAACCAAGCACGAGGGGATTGTTTAAGTCCATAGAGTTTTCTTCAATTTACATACCTTATCTTACATCTCCTTATCATACATTCTAGGTAGAAGGGACATATACACCTCTTCAGTCAAATCACCATTCAAGAAGGCATTATTGACATCAAATTGATAAAGGGGTCAGTCCTAGCTCACTATTAAAGACAAGAAAAATCTCATAGATGTCATCTTAATCTTTATTCTTCTCTAGAAATCTCCCCCAACTGGGCAACATCAATTTTCAGTTGATCAGCAACTTAATTTTCCATACACACTGTGTATGGGCCTAAAAAGAGAAAAGCAAGAAGTGGGAGCTTGCTTTGATACCAAGAAGAAATATAATCCAGCAATAATCCTGATTTTAGAGAAGAAAATAAAGAAGAAAAAGAAGGAAGAAAATGATGTTCAGGAGAGAGAGAAAGAGTATAAAAAGAGAGGAGAGGGGATCTGAATTGCGTCGCTCTCTATCCCAAAATCAATTTTTATATGGTGAATATTAAAGGGTGCAGAATTACATGGGTGCCCCTAGTTAGGTGGCTGAACCAAAGAACATAAGAAACATTAAGTATTCTGGCCCATAAGGAAGACCCACTACGGCTGCAATAAAAATTACTGACTAGATAAACAAAACTAAGGCCCATTCAGCCAACCTCTCTACATTATTTATTTTTTAAAATTTTAAAAACTCATGCCTTGCTTTGTCTGTGCATGTCTTGCCTTGTGCCTTCGGTGTTAGAAGGTCCTTGTGCTTTTCTTTCACCTCCTGGTTTTAAAACACTGATCTAACCCTATAGTGACCAAAACTGCAGAATGTAAAGAGTTTCTGGTTGTCAATGATTGYGGAAGCATATGCAAATGTCTTCCCTGTCATAGAGATAGGGGTTCCTCCTGTTAGGTGACACTCATATATTGACAATTTCAACTTGTATGTCTGACAAAATCATAGATTAATGTAAATCAAGAAGGTTACCTATGAAAGGAAGAAGATGCCAACAATTAATATTATGTTTGGGTCAAATTGAACTGGCGGTGCAAAATTACAAAGACAAATTGGACATAAGGAACAATAGTTATTGCRGAACGGGACCAAATCTTATTAATGGCATATGAAAATGGAACTACCCTTCACCCTCAAGCTTTTCAGGTCATGTGATTTGGTGAATGACAAAGGACAGGCTATATGAATCTTCTTCCAACTGTTGAACTCTATCAAAAGTCATGTTATCAATCAAGTTTTGGCTTTACATCCTTCACATCATTTTTCACTAGCCTGACCATGTACTTTTGGCCTTCCCCTTGCTCTCTTAGAGACTTGTATTTGCGTCAAGTCATTTCTCTAGGTGCAGTTGTTGGCCC